TTTTTTGTTTGTTTGTTTTCTCCATTTCTTTAAGGGGGTTTTTCATTTCCTCTTTCAAGGTCACCATCATTTTTATAAACTTACATTTAAAGTCGTTTTCTTCTACTTCTTCTGGGTTAGCATGATCAAGTCTTCCTGTTGTGTGTCTGCTGGGTTCTGGTGTTATGTTGCTTTTTAGGCTGTTGGATGAATTATTGCATTCGTGCCTGCCCATCTCTTCCTTCAAATGAGGCTGGCAGTGTCTTTGTGTCTTGGTCCCATCCTTGCTGTGGCTGTCTGAGTATTTGGGAGTTTTTCTTGGTCTGCTCTGTACTATCAATGTCCATCTCAGAAAGCCTCTGAGGTCTCTATACACCTGCTCTGTTAGTCTTCTCTCCTGGTTTGCTCTCTTTGTGCTTTTTCTTAATCCCCCCAGTGTTGTAGCAAGCTCTTGGTCCCTCTTAAGTACCCTCAGTATTGAAGCAAGCTGTATTTCAGAGTTCCACCCAGGTTGCAGGAGAATAGGCGGGTTTGGGTGTGTGGTGTGGCTGGTAGTTTGGATGGCAGCTGCATGGGTTTGGGTTTGGGGAATCCTAGCCATAGGAAACTCCCTGCTGGCTGGCTAGGAAAGCTGAGGGAGTTGGGGGTTCCTTTGTTTTCTTGTGGACCACTCATAAGTGGTCCCTGCTGTGAGAGACAGTCCAGGACAGCCTCTAGCCTCTGGCTTTTGAGTCGCCCAGACCAGGGCCAGTCGGTTTCATTAACACTTTGCCTATAGAGAGAAGATGTTCTTTTACAGGTCTTGTGGTTTTGCTGTTTTCATGGGTTTTCACATTTTTAGCTATGGAGAATAAACCCTCAAACTACCAGGCACCTGCCTGTAAACACGCTCTGCTTTTCCTTTCACTGGGCAGCCCCTTCCCCACCCGTCTGAAAATGCTCTTTTCCTCTTGCTCCCATTCCTTCTAGTCTTTCCTTGCCACTGCTACCGCTGGTCCCATGGAAACCAACCTTTGCTCCCCACCGAGGCTTGTGGTGCAGCAGCTCGTCAACAGGGAGGACCATGCCTCTAGGTCTCTCTTGTTATTATATTTAAAACTCCCGTGGCTTAAAAAGTGTGGCTTCTCCATACAACATGTGACTGCCGCCATTTTGACTGAGGTCAGGTGACCTTACAGCCATCTTAACTGAGGGCCAGTTCACGTTAACCCAGTTCTGCCATCTTTACTGAGGTATTCCCCGCCTGGTGTCCCAGTGCTGACTCTGTTACATGTGTGTTTTGCATAGTACACGCCTTTGGTAGGGCCCACCAAAAGTATCCACTTTGCTTAATTCCTGATCACTCTGTGTGTGTGTGTGTGTGCATACATGTAACTTAAATATACCTATGTTTACTCTTAAATGCTATAATTGTCTGCCCATTATATCTCATTCCAGACTAACAAAGCAATAAGTTTTATGTTTTAAATTGGTATGTACTTTTAAGTATCTTACAAAAATACTATATATTTAATCCAACCCTGCTTTAAAATATATTAAGCTGTTCTCTACTATTGTCAGTTCTACCGTTAAGCTTCTATTACAAGCAGTTTTTTCTTCTTTCTGTCCTTTTACAAGTGTAATTTTTTAAGTTTTATTGATTTTTATTGAGCTCTACATTTTTCTCTGCTACCCTCCTGTCTCTTCCCTCCCCTTAAACCCTCTACCAAGGTTCCCATGCTCCCAATTTGCTCAGGAGATCTTGTTTTTTTCTACTTCCCATGTAGATTATATCTATGTATGTCTCTCTTGGTGTCCTCATTGTTGTCTAGGTTTTCTAGGATTATGATTTGTAGGCTGGCTTTCTTTGCTTTATGTTTAAAAATCACCTTTGAGTGAGTACATGTGCTAATTGTCTTTCTGGGGCTGGGTTACCTCACTCAAAATATTGTTTTCTAAACCCATCCATTTGCCTGCGAAATTCAAGAAGTCATTATTTTTTTCTGTTGTGTAGTACTCCATTGTATAAATGTACCACATTTTCCTTATCCATTCCTCAATCGAGGGGCATTTAGGTTGCTTCCACGTCTGGCTATGACAAACAAAGCTGCTATGAACATAGTCGAGCACATGTCCTTGTGGCACAGTTGAGAATCCTTTGGATATAATACCCAGAAGTGGTATTACTGGGTCATGAGAAAAGTTGTTTCCTAATTTTCTGAGACATCTCCACACTGACATCCAAAGGGGCCGGACCAGCTTGCACTCCCACCAGCAATGCAGGAGTGTTCCTTTACCCCACAACCTCTCCAGTATAAGTTGTCACTGGTGTTTTTGATCTTGGCCATTCTTACAGGTATAAGATGGAATCTCAGAGTTGTTTTTTTTTTTTTTAATTTTTTATTTATTATGTATACAACATTCTGCCTCCATGTATGCCCACACACCAGAGGAGGGCGCCAGATCTCATTACAGATGGTTGTGAGCCNGGCACCAGACCTCATTACAGATGGTTGTGAGCCACCATGTGGTTGCTGGGAATTGAACTCAGAACCTTTGGAAGAGCAGGCAATGCTCTTAACCATTGAGCCATCTCTCCAGCCCCTCTCAGAGTTGTTTTGATTTGCATTTCTCTGTTGACTAAGGATGTCGAGCATTTCCTTAAGTGTCTTTCAGCCATTTTACATTCCTCTGTTGATACTTTTCATTATGCAAAAATGTCACAGTCATTCTGGTATAAATATGCTGCTGTTTTAAACCTATGTTTTCAAAAACCCAAAGAATTCTTGTGAGTTCCAGGAAGCCAAAGTGAAGGATCCATCTTAAACAGGTCAGATACACCCTACTCAATTCCCTGGTCTTAAAAAATTTTCCCCTAAACTTAACTTTGTCCTCTGTTCTGCCAATATCTTAAACAGGTCTAAGGGACACTGGACATTTCCAGACCACAAACACCGGACAGAAGAAAAGATACCAGCTATGCCAGGATGTGACCAGCACCCAGCTTTCTCACATTCCCCCCTAAGACAACGCCCACAAATAAGCAGCAAGCTGTGTTGAAAATCTGCCATCCTAATTCCTTTAACCTGTTGTGTTTAACATCCTGCCTTTTTATTATAAAAAAAGAGATGGGAATATAATGGTCTGTCCTGTTCCTTTAAAAGACACTCTTCCTTTTCTGCCAAGGCAAGCAGATCTTCCTTCTGCTTCCAGCCTACACTATCTCTGCCCCTGTCTCTCTTGGGAGGAGGTGGCTGCTGCCATGGTTCCTCTCCTCCCCTCTCCTCCCCTCCCCTCTCTTCCTCTCCCCTCCCCTCCCCTCCCCTCCCCTCTCCTCTCCTTTCTTCTCCTCTACCCCTCTCCGTCTCTCTGTCTCTCTGTCTCTGTCTCTCTGTCTCTCTGTCTCTCTGTCTCTCTCTCTCTCTCTCTCTCTCCCTCTTCCCTTTCCTCCCATAACCCATGGAATAAACTATACCCAAACCCTCTTTGCACATGACATGCCTATCTGTCTCTGTCTCTCACCTGCCGCTGTTCCTCGTGGGACCAGCTTCCTGGGACTACAGAGGCTTGGCGTCCAAGACCATTGTGTTAGCAGGGTTGATTAGTGCCTAAGGACTTTAAGAGAATGTTCTGCCCCAACCCTCTATCCCTCTCTCCTTGACTTGTAAGTAACTGGTTTTTTTCCCTATATCTTCACATTTCCTTCCCTGTTTGCTTCTGTCTAGATTTCCGTTTTCTTAAAACACGATCATATTGGATTTGGGTCTACCCTACAACCTAATTTCAACTTAATTGCCTTATAGATCTTGTTTCCAAATACAGCTCTGTGCCGAGGTACCAACATCCAAGGCTTTAGCATATGAATTTGGGGACAATGCATTTTAACTTACATTTACACATTTAATTCACTTAACATACAAGACGACAGTGCCTTCCCTGTTGTAACACCTGTGTTGCCAAAATAAGCCCTTTCTTCCTGAAATTTCTTCTACTTTACAGCAACAAGAGAAATAACCAAGGCAAAACTCCGACGCAGAGCAGTGGCCACTGCTGTAATGAACTTGATTTTGACAATGGTTTGCAGGAGGAATGTAGAAGGCTGTAAGCAGAGCTTAATGGGTTGCTTTGAGGGAGTGTGGGAGTCCAGGATGCTGTGGGATTACACACAGGATCAAGGGCATTGTCAGCCTAAGAGGCTGGCCAGGGGATGGTTACTTCCCACTGCCAATGATCAGTATTGGAGTGAAGAGGCAGAGAAAAAAGATGGAGCAGGAAATGTTTGCCAAGGAGAGGAGAATGGGGTATCTGAAGCTGGGACAAGAGCCAGGCGTGGGGGTGCATGGCAGTCCCAGTAGGAGCAGAGGATTAGGAGTTCATCCTCAGGCACACAGTGCCTGTGTTACAGGCCTGTCTCAAAAATAAGCAAATGCCAAAATAAAGATGTGGACAAGTCAGGTTCAAACAAAGAAATGGTGCCACTGAGAGAAGCATTAGGTTTGTGCATGAGGATTGGTGGGGCCACTTCTCCATCTTTCTGCTTCCTGTTTGCTATCCAGGCTCCTGCCTCATAGACAAACAGCTACAGGAGCCATGTCCCTGTGAAGATAGGCTGTATCTCCACTAAGCCAATACAAATCTCCCCTCCTTTAAGCAGTTTATGTCAAGTCACATGACAAGAGAAAAAAAATAACTAATGCAGAAAGGAAACTGAAGGCATGCAGTTCAAGGAGGAAGAAAACAAGATCACAGATGACACAACTTGATATAGAAAATCTCAAAAAATTGACACAGACTCTTTATAAGGACTGACTGCAGCCAAATGGCAGGAATAGGGTAATATTCAAGAAAGAGTCCATTACTTTCCCAAATATCATCAAGTGGAATTTGAGTTCCAGAGCAAAATGCAATTTCTCTTAGCCATGACTGCAGGAGGGAGCCTGATGGAGACTCATGTTCGTCCCTGAGTTGGTGCTTTCCCTGTCTGATGTGTAGGGCCTTGCAGTGGGTGCGGCTCCGCCATGTACCTCTGAGGTCAGCGTCGTCAAAGTGTGTGTACACACTGAGCTCACATCCCTGTTTCCCAGGACCACAGGAATCCAGTTTTTATCAGTCTGTACTCCGGAGATCATCAGTTCCAGGAACAGTTGCCCAAAGCCCTGAGTGAGAGAGGGGAGCTGGAGTTCTCTCTCTCTCTCAACAGTGGTGGTATTGTAAAAGCTAATTTTGAAATAATTTTACGTTTACAAGAGTCTTAGAACTGGAGCAGGTAGTCTGCACACACTTTTCATCAATCCTTCCTCTCTCGTTAGCATTGCTCATAAGCGTAGCATATTTGCCAAAACTATGCAATGATGGCAAATATTACCGATACCTGAACCAGACTTTATCTGGATGTCACCAGTTTCCCAGCGATGTTATTTTTCTGCCTTCAAAGTTCCCACTGCGCCTGGCTGTCACGTTTCCTTTGTCTCTAATCAATGACAGCTCCTCGGTTTGTCTTTTTCTTTGCCTTAGACTCTCCAAGAATCACTTTAAGATTCTGTGGTGTACGTCATTGCAGATCTTGGCTTTTCCCACAGTATCTTGTATCATTTACCTGAGGTTGACTTCTCAAACTTTTTTACTGTCTCCTCTCTGTGTACTGATAGGTTGGTGGGGTTTAAAAATCCATTTACTATGTTTTAGTGGAATCTCAGGAGTAGTGAAATTGTATTGTTATATTTAATCTGCCATTTTTATCTGGGAGATAAATATTTTGGGAGAAACACTTTTTGATCACTCAAATTGCTGGTAACCTGTGGTTAGTGGTGTCTTCGCCCACAAATAGCTTTGTTTTATGCCTTTGTTACATTCTGTATGAACTGTGGTGAGAGACACAGTTCAGTTCACAGCCTGTACAAACCCCGCACCACACCTCCTTGGCCCACAGAATGCTGTCCACATTCCAGTACAATATACAAACCCCACGGCACAGCCCTACCCGACCTCCCCAATTTCTCTCATCTCTCCGCCCACATCACTTCCTGCTTACGATGAACTTTGGTTTCAATTGAAACCCATAACACATATAGGTCTTTGCTTCTATAGGTCTGTTTCTAGGCTCACTTCTTTTTTTTTTTTTTTTTTACCTTTTTTTTAATTTATTTATTTATTAAAGATTTCTGTCTCTTCCCCACCGCCGCCTCCCCTTTCCCTCCCCCTCCCCCAATCAAGTCCCCCTCCCTCGTCAGCCCAAAAAGCAATCAGGGTTCTCTGCCCTGTGGGAAGTCCAAGGACCACCCACCTCCATCCAGGTCTAGTAAGGCGAGTATCCACGAAACTGCCTAGGCTCCCACGAAACCAATAGGTCCAGTAGAATCAAAAACCCGTTGCCATTGTTCTTGAGGTCTCAGTAGTCCTCCTTGTCCGCTATGTTCAGCGAGACCAGTTTTGACCCAGGCTTTTTCAGACCCAGGCCAGCTGGCCTTGGTGAGTTCCCGATAGAACATCCCCATTGTCTCAGTGTATGGGTGCACCCCTCGCGGTCCTGAGTTCCTTGCTTGTGCTCTCTCTCCTTCTGCTCCTGATTTGGACCTTGAGATTTCAGTCCGGTGCTCCAATGTGTGTCTCTGTCTCTGTCTCCTTTCATCACCTGATGAAGTTTAATATTCAGGAGGATGCCTATATGATTTTCTTTGGGTTCTCCTTCTTATTTAGCTTCCCTAAGAACCCGAATTGTAGGCTCAATGTCCTTTATTTATGGCTAGAAACCAAATATGAGTGAGAACATCCCATGTTCCTCTTTTTGGGTCTGGCTTACCTCACTCAGGATGGTGTTTTCTATTTCCATCCATTTGTCTAGGCTCACTTCTAACCAGTAAGTTATCATCGGAAATGTCGAAATTGGGGAGGCAGTTTTTGTTACAATAAGGAAAGTAGGGAAGAATCAATTAAACTCTGCCCTTTCATAGACAGGACACACACACACTTTCTTACCATAATACAAGTCCAAAAATGTTCCTGCCTAGCAAAATGTGCTGTTTTATATCCAATCACGGATGGCTAGATAACAGCCCGTCAGGTGCTGCCACACCTGTAAAAGTTAGTGTGAAATCTCCTCCCAGTTCAGCATCCCCAGAATGTCAGTCCTGAGCTTCCTTTGCTGGAGACAACAGAAAAACTGCCCGTGTGTACAGGTCTGACTCATCTATACCAGGACACATCTGGCTACTGCTTCTGGGAATTGCCCGGGGACAGGAGAAGGCTCTCCAAGAGTGTGGCAAGCCAGTAAGCCACTCTAAGTCTGTCTATGGTGCCTAAGATGTCAGAGGTTAAGAATGTTGCATGGTTTCTTTAAGCAAGATTCAACAGGAAAGTTACTGAACAAAATATCTGAGCTCACAACTATGCTTGTTTCTACTGATAGAACCATTTAATCTTCTCTTGAGAAGTTAATACCTTGCTCTATTGTGCCCTACCAGGAACGAAATGATTAATACGGGACTCTAAATGGATACCTTCACTGCCCATTATGAACAACAGTTGTTTGGGCAATACATTAAATACTGTGCCAAAGCTGGACGTGCACAACAGTCTATCATCCAATGAAATTATATGTAAGTTCAGACTCAAGTGCCTCTAGAAAACACAGGTTTACATAAACGCATACATCATTCTGGCACTGACGGCACCTACCTTTGCTGCCTGTAGTCCCTTCCTCACCTTCCACTTACTGGTTTTATGGGGCGTTCTCTAGAACATGTTGTAGGAAGCAGAATAAAAGTTTGGACTTCGTTCACAGAAAGATTTCAGTTTTATGCTAGGACAAGCATATTCACTTGGGGACGTCAAGATAAGTCGTAGACATTAGGACTTCGAGCAGAGCGTCTGGTTGTCACTGTGGTCAGGAAGCCAAGGCAGCCTGTGATACAAGGCTGCATTTACTTACGGAATGTAGATCTTTAGCCATTGGTCAGAAACTTGGAAAGTACATATCTAAAAGGCTGATAACAAATGTGAAGAGGAGACACATGAGTGGATCTTTCAGAAGTGAACACAAAGGAACTAGCATGCATGCTTACCAAGCACAGAGTCCCTGGTGGAGGTCTTCTAATAGAGACGGACAAGATGGCCTGTCCTGTGGCTGTCATTCTTCATCTTTCCGCACCCTAGTATTTAATG